TCCCTATCTTTCCAATGGAGTGCAGTTAATCAATATGTCTCTGTCAAAGAGGGGCGCTACCACAGAGAGTAAGTACTACTTTCCCTAGTGCAATGCTGCAGAGCTCCTCGTTCTCACTCATCTGAAGACTTTGAACTAAACTCCGATTATCAGTCCAGAAATCTTACGGACTCAAAAGAGTTTTACACATTATTTGAAGGGAAAAAAGGTATTGTATCTCCACCAGAAATAATGTAACTATATATTAAATCATGTTACCACAATGCTCTGACTAGCTCACAACAGATACTTCAAGGGCAGGCCTTTAGTAACTCCTTTTATAAAGAACAAGTACTAAAGGCTGAGAAAACTGGACCTGTTCAGCCTTGGGAAGAGAAGGCTTAGGGGGGACCTTATCACCATGTACCAGTACATAAAGGGTGGCTACCAAGAAGATGGAGACTCCTTTTTCACAAGGAGTCACATGGAAAAGAGGAGGGGTAATGGACACAAGTTGCTTCTGGAGAGATTCCAACTGAACTCGAGAAGAAATTTTTTTACCATGAGATCAATCAGACATTGGAACAATCTCCCAGGGGAAACGGTAAATTCCCCTACACTGGTGAGTTTTAAGAGTCAGCTTGACAGGCTGCTGTCTCAACTAATTTAAACTATATTTTTAACTTGAGAGGCTGGACTAAATGATCCTTGTGGTCCCTTCCAACATGGTATTTTAAGATTCTGTGATTCTGTGATAGATGAAAATCTAGCGTATCATAAGCATTTCTGTTTGTCCTATCAAAGGTCAATGCAGAAATAACATTTTAATCTTTCAGAAATGCAGGCAGAGTTCATTCTGTTGAACCGATTTATGTGTCTGTTGTAAGAAGGAAGTTAAAAGGAATTAACTGGTGCAAAAAAAAAAAAGGACAAAAACTGTAAACCCTCAAAATGCTAATAGGCCTATTACAGGACTCAACAAAATCACTTGTTTCAATGGTTTAAGTGGATACTTATCAAGGCCAAGGCATCACAAGAATATGCAGTTTGGGATACCAAAATCCATCAAAGAAAAGTTAAATGACCACTATCATTCTCAAAATCCTTGTAAGTCTCTTCAAGAAGAAACAAGTTTTGTGACGGATTCAAAATTCAAGTAAGTCAAAATCAAAGTTGTTCTAGAAAAAACAAGTTTTGTGAATGATTCAAAATCCAAGTAAATCAAACACAAAGTTGTTTTAACTACAAAAACTGAAGCAACTGGGAAAAATGGCAGGTATAGCTGTAAAATTTGTGATAGCATCAAGAGAAGAAGAAGTTGAAATAAAAGGTTTATACACATTTCTGACAGCATTTTGTTCTGTATAGCTCTCATCAGTGAACACCGAGTACTCTTTAGTTCAACCACGAATATTACATTTCTGGCTTTCTGCTAAATTTCTGGTTGACCTTCCCTCTTGTTCTGGAGGCAGACTCGCAATATTCCTGC